TGGATTTTCTTTGCACCCACTCACAAAAAGCTAATTGTGTAACCATCATTATATTAAAAAATCATTAAAATTGATCAAGTGGTTTTTAAGTAAACTCAATTTAAAATTGTCTAAAGTTCAACTGATCATGGTGATAGTTATAAAAATTAAAAAAATGAAAAACGTTTGGTTGGAAAAATTTGAGAAACGGCCCTTTAAAAAAAAAAGCTATAAAACCTTTTTTTTTTAAAGAAATGCAAAATATAGTTTACAATTAAGTTCAACTTGAATATAATATATAGCAATTTAAAAAAACATAAAATTGCTTACTATATAATTAAATATTGTTAGCATTAAAGTTTAAGCCTTTGAGTATTTGTAATATATCTAGGTGAAGAAATGTCTTTTATTAAGTATTGCTTCCAAACTTCCAATAATATTGAATATTAGTTTTCTAACTCCTGTTCTAATAAATGATCAAGTCCCCTTCCTGTTATGTTGATGAGCAGCTCAATATGTGTGAGTATTACATGAAGCTTAGGGGTTTCAGATACTCCAAACTCTTCCTGTAAAAACTTATAAGGCCTCCTTAGATTTTTTAAAACATTCTTATAATCAGGATCAACAGACGCACTAAATGTAGAGGCAATGACCTTTGAAAAGTCATGCAAGTAATCCAAGAAACCAGACTGCTCTTTAGGAAATACTTTCTTCAATCTTTCAAGAAATATTACAACAGAACACTCATTAAAAAAAAGCATGGATATTTCGATGCACATGAAATTTTTGCAGACACAATGTTTAAGAGTTTAAGGTCTCCAGTGAAGTTGAACAATCGTAGATTGATTTGATTTTACTCTATGAATATCTTGCAGTTATGGTATGTCTCTGAAACTTTTAGAGCTGATGCAATAATCTGAATCATCCTCTTTCCATTGTCTTTGTAATAATTTTCTAAATGAATTTTTATTGAACACTTAATACAAATAAGTACATAATTTAGAAGCAGTAGCATGCGAGGATTAAAGTTATTTTTACCCAAACCAATACTCTTTTCCTGGTTACTTTACTAGAAGGTTTAATGAATGTTAAATTATCTGGATCATAAAGTGTAAGAACTAACTGTCCTTTTCCAAAATCAAGGCTGAACTTTGAAGCCACTCTCTAAGAAAGGCTGTTCTTAACAGTTTAATATATAATATAAGTATTCATCGCTTAGATTAAAATAATGATTATGAAATCTTAAATGTAGATGCTGGTAAAGCAGTGTAAGCAGATGCGGGGGGAAAACAATCTTGAATTGTTAGATTTATTTTTCTGGTTGTTGAAAAATAATTTCCACTGAAGACCATTCAAGCTAGCAATTTTACAAATTCTGCATTTACATTATTCAATAGACCTGGTAGAAACAGATAAATGTTAAACAGTTTATTTTTATAGAAAAACTAAAAGTTTGTCTACAGAGAGGGAGATTTGTGTTGATTAAATTTATAAATAGTTATTAACTTTGACATACCATATTATTCCCAGAATGTTATATATTTTTTTATAATTTATTTGATGCACAATTTTAAATGTTACTTTTACAAGCAATTATAACATTACATTAAAAGTACTTCACAAAATAAACAACATGTACTCCTCTATCTCCTCCTTTTCCTACTCCTTTATCTACTTCAACTCCTCCAGCTACTCCATACGTTCCTAAATCTTTACTGCATTAAAACAATAAAAGTTAAAAAAAAGTCCAAAAAATATTTACCTTTATTATGCAAATCCTTGAAAAGTATTAATTTTCCAAACATAGGTTTTGTATAAAAATAAACTAGGTTTATTTAAAAATATAAGTTACAATTTTATATATAAATACCTTGTTTTAGTTTTCAGCTCTGGATCATAGTTATTTGCTACTGTTACATTGTTTTAATTAAAATAGATATAAATCAAATTAATAAGTAATAGCTTATTTTGTATCTTTTAGGGTTAAAAGTGCGCTGTTATTAAGACTCGGGCCTTGAACAATAAATTACAGAAAATAAAAAATCTGAAATTATATAATAAAATAAAAATAAAAATGGTGTAATTTTTAACATTTAACACTATTGACAAGAAAATTAGTTTTTTATCCTGTTTTTATAGCTTTTCTTAATTTTGCAGGTTTTATAGAGAAATTTCTCAAAGTTTTCCCAACAAATGTTTTTCTTTTTTATAACTAATATATATATATATATATATATATATATATATATATATATATATATATATATATATATATATATGTATATAAAAGAATGACATAAAACTTTTCTTTATGATTTTATCATTAATTTTAATGCCATTTTTTAAAAACATGATTTGGTTTTAGTTTGACCAGTAATTTCCTTAGGTTTTACCATGTGGGTTTAAAATGGTTTTCGTTTTTTTTAAGTAAATTAAAATAGCATTTTATTTTAGGTTCTTTTGAAGTTTTTCAAAAATATTTGCATAGTTTTTGTAGCTTTTAAATTTTTTATGTATATTTATGTTTTACTTTTGAAGATTTTCTTAGACAGTTTGTAATCCATGGTGATTTTACACTTTTCGGTTTTAAATTTTTTTTACAAACGTAAAAAAAATTCAAAACCAGAAAGTCGTATGTCCCATAAAAAGCTTTTAGGAATTGGTTGTAAGCTAAGTTAACATCAGATGAAGTGTTTATATCATTCCAATAAAGCAATGGCAGTTGCTCCCAAAATGATGATAAATTTGCTTCATTTTAGATGCTTTTAAAAAAGATTTGTTTGTCATTTAGTATTTCATTTGGTTCTATATTTATTGAGAGAAAAATAGAAAAATGATACAATAGAAAAAACAATAGAAACTTTTGTTAATACTCTTTTTTAGAGATTCATTAAAAATCTCGTTTGTTATAATATTATCAGTTAGCAGAGCCATTTTTTTGTTAAATATTCAATTACACCAGAATGTAGGCAATAACAACAAATTAAAAGTATGTTCTAGTTTTTTTGGTTAAAATTGCAATTGCTAAAATCTTTTTATCATCATCATACACATGTTGGAGATTGTAACAAATTGAAAACTTTCTTTTATATAGATAAGTACACTTATTTGCTTTATATACTAATAAAGTTATTTGAAAATCAAGCAAGTGGATATTTGAATTAGAATTTACCTCATCAGAATTGCACCATGTTTCGTACAGATTAAATCAAAAAATGTTTAGGGCATCTTTCATACTTATACAAAAACATTCAAATTTTTTTAAGCTTTTTATATTAATATACAAAACATTTAAATGGCTCTAAGAATTGATTTTTTTCATTTGCATAGAAATAAGTGCAATTACTTTGTAATGCACCTTTTTCGATAAAATAATTTAGATCTGGAAAAGATTTTTTATCAATAAAATAGTAATTTGTTTTAAACTAAAATTAAATGATGTTAATTCAAAATAAATAACTAGAACAAAATCCATTTTAATAATAAAAGAACTTTTAAGAATAAAAAAAATTTAAAAAATCTTATGAATGAAAATCAAGCGTCCCAGCAAACATTGTTGCCGTGGGTTTGCAGTGGACCTTTATAGGCATTTTAAGTAGTTCATTGGAGTTTGGACAATGATAGTTCTGTTTTTTAGTTTTTTACTAAACTCTTTTTTTCCATTGTTTTTTTTGTGCCCTTTAAATAACTAAACTCTTTTTAATGCTTTGAATTTAAAATTCACAAATCTAAAATATATGATACATAAAATTCAAAACAAAAATCTCTCTCTTGCCAAGTTTTATTTTCAACTTCTTTGATCCCACTAAACCTTGAATTGTTTTGTCGACTGTGATCCTCTAGTTCTGCTAGTTTGCTTTTATTCATATTATTGCTATGCTCAAGGTCAATGCTATATTTATTTAAAGCCGATGGTGATACTTTCTTTTTTAAGATTTATTCAGTTTAGATATGTTTTCGTGTTTTTTATTTATGAACTCAGCAGATTTCCATAGTTCACCAATTTCATTTGTCAAGTTTGCGTTTTAAGTTTGCATCATAGTTTCATTTTTTAAGTTTGCCAATCTCATTTTTTAATTTTGTGTTAAAATAGTATAGGCTAAGTATTTTATTTATAATCATAGATTAAAATTATGTTAGTGTTGCCAGCATTATTACGACAATGTAATTCTGATAAAAAAATATCATTAGTGTAACTAAGGTTATTACAGCGTTGTAATTCTAATTTTAAACAATTAGTATAACCAATGTTGTTTGTAATACTAATTTTAAAAAATTAGTATAACCAATGTTGTTATAACTCTGATATAAAATAATGTTAGTATAAACAATGTTATTACAACGTTGTAATTCTGATGAATAATAACCTCAGTGTAACCAACGTCATTACAACGAGATTTAGTTTGTCGATGTTGTGTGCTCACTTCGTTGGCAAGAGATGACAGTCTAGCCTATTTCTACCAAAAGATTTTATTTTTGTGAAATTGTAACTGATAGTTTTTAAACAACATTTTTTTTTTACTTTGCAAGAGTTTCTTGTCTTTTTGCTGTTTTTATCTGTTTAGTTTTTATTTTTATTTTTATTTTATAGGTGTAGTTATTGTTGCAATGTGTAAAATTTTTAATAAATTTATTTTTTGTTTTGTATTTGTTTGTGGTCTTTTGTTTGCATTTTGTTACTATTTGTTATTCGTTTTATGTGATATATCACTTTTAACATATTGTTTATATAGTTTTTATTATGATTATAGATGTTAGAAATATTATTGTCAATTTTTTTATGATTTTTATCTCACAGTAGGTTGTTACTTTATGTCAGTTTTTAACTGTTTGTAATTTTTCCTATCTTTATAATATTCAGTTTTGAAATCAATTAATCATTTCTCTTTATTATATTTTTTTTATTAATTTTAATCCCATTATTTCAATGTTGTTATTATAATTATTATTAATAATACTATTACATTATGTTATTGCATCAATTATCATACAACTCATATATTATATTTTATAATCTTTAGAGAATTGTTAGAATTAAAATTAGAAATAATTTATTCTAATTATACATTGGTTCCTGCTCATGATCTCACTATTGAATACTTTATGCCTAATTATATATCACAATTTTCTAAATTTGTTCCTCTTGGATTTAGTTGGATCAAAGATTTCAAGTATATAGTAAGTTTTAATTGATGATGTTATTAAAATATTATTATCTGTTAAAGCATTATGGTTTTCATTCATATTTTCAACTATTTTTCACATCTTTACTTTTTATTAATTCTTCTGTGTTTATTTTGTTTTGTACTTTTTTATTTAGCTGAATGGAACATTTAACTTAACAAGCAGTATTAGTTATATCTTAAATGTTTTAATTCACTACGATAAGTTCCCAAACAAAGAGTTGACTATAGAAATTCCTATTAAAGTGACTTTTCAAAATTTTGGAGGAAAGAAATGGAATATAATCAAAATTTATCGAAGTTCTGTCAAATTTCAAACTGAAAAAAATCTAATAATTAATAAAGATTCTTCTGCACTTTCAGGTTGGTTTATTATTATGTATAAAGGAGTTAATTAATTTTAATCTCCAAACCAAAGAGAAATAAGTCAGTTGAAATAATGTATTCTGAAAAGAAAATCTTTAATTTTTGAGTATAAAATGATGAAATTTCAATAATAAAAATTATTCTTACATTTGTAGACAAAATAAAATGTGTTCCCTTTTAGGTAAACACCTTTTGTTCTGTTAAATATGACTTGAAATATCATATCTCAATAACATTTACACAAATGAACTGTAGTTATACTGTGTATATTTGACTTTGAGCTAATATCAGTAACAAACAAATACAATAATAAACAAACAAGGCATAATACACTTATTAGGTAACAAATTAATGTTGCATTTTATGACACCTTGATTCCCTGATAACATTTGCATTTATATTTATAAATATGTATATATTATATATATAATGCTGTACACTTTTTGAAGTTGAATTGGAAAGGTTGCCTAAAAAAAGAGGACAGATATTGCACTGAAAGTTATGCCCTAGAATGCTGGTTTTATTATATATTTGTCATTTTTGCTTTATTTTTTTATATTTTTCCAGGTGTTGTGATTTTATATTCCATTGCTCTCCATAGCGTTTCTAGCTCTCCATTGCTCTGTTATAGTTATGTTTATGGTGGTGGTTTTGATTTTTGCTAAGTTATTTTTTCTCAGAATGTTTTTCCTAATTTGAAATTAGTGTGGGTTGTATTTAACTTTTTAATTGGTTTTCATTTTTCCTTCTGAAAGATTATCATACTTTTCTTTCAATTGGGCAGAATATAAAATGATGTGTTCTTCTTTTTTTTTTTTTTTTTTTTTTTTGTCAAGTTTTTTAGTAATTGTTGTCTCTACTTTTTGCGCCATTTTTTCTATAGTTATATGGCATCTGTGTAAATTATCCATAGTGTGTTTTTTAATGGCCCTAGGCAATGAGAAAAAGTTCCTTTTCCATATTTTCTGCCAGGGAAGAGGTTTTTGCTGTTTCACCTCCCATGATATTTCAATTTTTTGAATATTTGCATTTACATTTGCAGTGTTTAGGTGTGTGTAGATATTTTTACTTTTTTGGATTTATTTGCAGTTTTTTTAACTTCTCCAATACATTGTCGTGATAAAAAGAGTTTTGGTTTAGCAATTTTTCGGTGACAAATTTTTTTTGTTAAAAACATCTATTTTTAAATATGTTTATATATGAATCGGTGAATGTTAAAAGGGCAGAAGTCCAACAATGTAAATTTTCAGAAATCAAAGAAATACTGCATTTTCCTTCATTGTAAATTTTTATTGATGGTTTGATAATTTCTTTTCTGAAGAGGATAATGTTTTTCACCTTCAAAAAAAATATTATTAAGCCATTAACAAAAATTTATTATGGTGGAAATACAGTTTTTTTTAGTTTCCCGAAAATTTACATTGTTGGATTTACGCCTTTTACATTCACCACCAATTCATATATTACTATTGTTTTGCAAAGTTTGTTTGTGAGTAAGATAGTAGATTGTTTTGGATATAGTTTAGGTGGTGACAGTTCATGGTTTATTTGATGTTAAAGATTTTTTCTTAAGGCAAGACACTATTTTCACATCTAGTATTCCCAGTCCTTTAATTATTTGCTCTTTTTACAGGCTCAGTATAGTTGCTTTGTCATAAGTATTTGGATGTTTTTTTCTTTATTTGATTTATAGTTTTCTCATTGATGGGAAAAAAGTGGATATTTCAGCCGGATACTTGCCCAAAACTTGTTTTTAAAGATTTCTATAATGGAGTTTTCTATGGTGTTTTTTTTTTTTTTATAGAAATTTAAAGAGCTCATATCTTCAAATATTCTATTTCTAAAAACACAGAGGTTTTAAAACTTTTAAAACCTCTGTGCTTTTAAGAAAAAGTTTAGGGTGTTGTTTAACTTATAAATGTAATGTGTGTGATTATTTATTATAAAAGTGTGTGTGTTTATTTATTATATATATATATATATATATATATATATATATATATATATATATATATATATATATATATATATATATATATATATGTATATATATATATATATATATATATATATATATATATATATATATATATATATATATATATATATATATATATATATATATATATATATATGTATATATATATATATATATATATATATGTATATGCATATACAACCCTCACGATCTCTAACAGTTTGAAGTCAGCAATAAACTGCTGACTTCAAATTGTTAGAGTTCAACATCAGGTCGGTAAAAAAATATTGACACAAAAGGTTACCATAAAACATAGAAACAAGGTGGTTGATTTTTTGACAAACACTTATAAGGTCAGTAGTTAGGTCGTCATCACTGAATGCCAACCCTGATTCTGACGGCTGTAATTTATATATATATATATTTTTTTTTTTGATTCTTTTCTGTAAGTGCACATTTCGAAATGCTCCTTTTTGAGCATTTCAAAACACTTTATGGAAGGTTAATTTTTGCATATGTAAATTTCTCAGTATAAATATATAACACAATTTTGAAATGCAATAGAAGAAGATGTAAAATTTTAGCAAGTCTTTTATTTCTCTAATAGAAATAAATACTTTATTCTTTGGTTTAGACAGTTATGGCCGTGGTGTTTATTATGACCAAATCAATAGGCATATCTATATATGCATGAATCAGCATGTTTCAAGGTAGAGGCAGCACTTTTTTTATGTGATTAAATATGGTGTTTTTATCTGCAAGCACATTTTAAATAAATTATTTTTTTATTAGCTCTAGATCAGCATGCTATTACTCAAAAAATTATGGTGAATCATGGATTGGTAAGCGTTTTGATTTTTTTTTATCTTTATATATATAAATATATATATATATATATATATATATATATATATATACATATATATATATATATATATATATATATATATATATATATATATATATATATATATATATACATGTCTGTTCAAATAAAAGAACATATAAAAGTTTGAACTGAGTTATGCTAAATAAACTTAAATATGTAAAATGAGAAACCTAGGTTTTGCAAAACAACTAGGTTGTTTTGCAAAACCTTGAATATTTTATCATTTTATTTTTACAGAATTGATAATTTTATTTTAAGTGTAAAAAGTTCATATATATAATTCTAGTGCTTGAGGTCATTTAAAACTAATTATGTTTATAAAATCAAAAGGTATAAGAGATTATTTTTATGTTGTAAACTGTTCAATATTTTTTGATTAATTATATAAAACTCTGCTAGCTCTTATTGGTACAAAAAGTCTTTTGTATACTTATCTTGGTATGTATGTTATATGTACATTAGGGGGATCCAGTCTCCCTTATGTGCTCGGATTAACCCTGAATTTTTTTTGTGCATGAGGTTCATAATAATTAGTAAGAACCTGAAATTTTAAGAAAATTGAACAATTTTTAGTGGTAGCAGATTTCAATTGAAGTTTCAATTTTGACACAATTTTTCAAATTTGTCTGTAATTAGAAGAAACTTGTAATTATCAGGTCAAACCTACTGAAATATTAATTGGAGTATAATGTTCGATAAATAAACTTCTTTCCTAATGTTATTTTTACAGGAATTTTGAAAAGATTTTTTTTTAATAAAATAAACAGTGAAACAGTTTTATCCAAAATTGGCATTTTTTTTTTAATTGACTATCCTTATTCAATCTAACAAAGATATACAAGGGTCTAGGCTGACAACTGCTCATCAGGAGCTTTTATGCTTTCTTGCAGGCTCTAACACAAAAATCAAAGAAAGGATGCAAGTGAAGCAGTTAAATAAACTCTACTATTTTATAATCGAGCAAGAAAACAAACAGTTAAGCCAAATAATTTGGCAAAGGAAATCATAAAGTTATTTAATGAGTTAAAAAAAAAAAAAAACACTGACAAGAATAACCAAAAATTATTGTGCTTGAAAACAAGTTTATAAAAACAATGAAATTCTGACCACAAGATGTGCTAGATAAATTTGTTGATGCAGAGGATAAACAGTTTCTGATCAGCATGATGGCTGATAGAAAGACATCCATGAGCTTGTTTGACCTTAAACGTAGTAATAATTGATAAAGAAAAATAACAATCAAATATTTTGAGATAATTTAACAATACTTTAATAGAAACAGATAAAGTTTGGCTTGATCATGATGTAAATAAACCTGGATGTAACTATGAAACTAAGCAGTGTTCTCGCAAAAGAACCTTAAAAACTGGAACAATTGTGTTTATATCACACAATATTCTGAAATCTCCCAAAGCTATTAAAATGTTTTAATAATGAATTATCTTTTAACATGGAAGTAAGGAACTAAAATGTATTTAACCATATTTTAAATCAAAAAGTTTTCAAAAAAAAACATTAAAGTCTTTAGGTTACAAAGCTTTGAAATTTTTTTTAGTAAAATATTTTATTATTACTATTTAATATTTAAAATTAAACTAAAATCAGTATTGACTGTTCGGTTTTTAGGTTTAAGAAAAACTTTGAGCTTCTGATTTGCCAAACTATTGAAGACCTTGAAATCCTTCAGTCTTTGATAAACAAAAAAGATCTCATTACCAATCTTTGTCAAGAAGCAATTAGTCAAAGTTTCAACTGAGATGATTATAGATAACTCATTCAAATAACATTGTTTTATCTAAGTAATGGGCAAAATGTGGTTTCCTGTGGATTTAATAGACCAGACGCTTTGCGTAATGCAAGCTGGATGTCAAAACTGTTATACTCTATAAAACTTGTACTGTCAAGCAAGAAGATCAGCCTACTACTAAAAGAAACAATTTTAGACAGCAACTTACTAAGTTTCAAATGAGTGTTTAGTTTGTTGTATTTTGTTATTTCTCATGGTTTCTAAGTGCATTCATATTTTTAGCAGCTCCTACTAATAATTTAAATCTTATTAATTAATTTTTCGAGTATAAACCTATTGATTTAACTATTACAAATTCTACTCTGAAAACTTTTATTAGTCACATTTGCCACCTCACTGAGGAGTTAGTTATTTTATTTCTACATATTTCTACTGTCTCTTTTTAATAACTATTTAGAGGACAAACAAAAGCAAAAAATTGTAAATAAAATACTCTCGCTAAAAAATTATGTGAAAACAAATGAAATAATTTCAAAAGAAAAGAGTTGGGAAAAAGAATTAGTAAGCCTATATTTCAAATGCTTCCTGAAATGGCTGTGAATGATTTGACTTGATTTATTGGTAAAGACACCCTAGTATTTTTCACCATTATGACAGAATGGCAAATAAGCAGAAAAATACAAATATAACAAAATGGTTACAGAATGGAAAAAGTAAAAGTTTTCTTGCCTAGAAAAATGCAGTTTCTAATGTGTTGTAAGCGACTCTGCCTAACCTGGAGTAAAACTTTGTTGTGAGAGAACTACTACTAAAAAACTAACTGTTGAAATTTGAATTTACTTTATACTTTTAAATTTAATGTTAAAATTTTTGATTTAACATGTTTAACATACAATATATATTTCAATTTGTCATAGTTTGTGTTTAAAATGGGTCATATATTTCAAACAATTTCAACATATTTCAAATCAGTCCGAAAATATGCTAAATAGACTCTGACTGATTTTATTGGTGGACTTCAGACCAAACAAGTTTTATTGAAGTAGTTTTAACTAGTTTTTTTAGTTTTAACCTTTTTGTTTAAGAATTAAATTTAAAAAAAATTTAATTCTTAAACAAATAAAAGCACTTTATTAAACTTGAAAATTATATAAAAATTTAATTGAAAAAAAAATAACAAATAAGAAAGAAAAGAAGTAAAACTAAACAGTTTAAGATTAAAAAAAATAGCAACACGTTTCAAAAAGAAAAATAATTTGAACATTTTAATTAGATTTTATACTGCTTATCACTTTGCAGAAGACACCAATTTGCTCTTAATTAATCACTTTAAAAAATTGACAAAAATATGAATTATGGTCTATGAATTATGGCAAATAATTCTTAATGGCTCCACTCTAATAAGTTATCCCTTCAACACTAAAAACACTAAATTTATAAAAAAATAATTAAACATTTAAAATAAAATATTTAAACTTGTTTAAACAAAAATAAATAAGCAATTAAACTTCAGATTAAGTGAGCAGAAAAAAAAGCTATTTCTATTAAATGTCTCGTATTTAAAATAGACTCTAATTTATCTTTTCTATTGCATTTTCAAGACTTAGTATTAAAACAGCAGATTAAATGCCATGTTCATTCAAACCCTCATTTTGTTTATTATAAAACTTTCCTTATTATAAATCAGGCTTTTTTTTATTCTCATCCTAGATATGCTTGTCAAGTTTGTGGTAGTCGAAACATTTTGGATTTTTAAGACTAACTGTCACTTAATAAGAAACCTGTTGCTTTAATTATTCTATTATAAAACTTGAAAATAAGCTCTAACATTAATTTATTTTCAACTTACTAGTTATTTACCAAAAAAGTTAAATTCACAAAGGTGCTTGTGTAAAAACATTTTATAAAGTAAATGACCTACACTACATAATGTAATTTTAAAAAGTTGAGTACCTAATGTTATGAAGGAGAATAAAACAATTTGTTACTGCACTAAGTTATAAAACTTAGTGCAGTAACAAATATTTACCCTAAGTCTTTAACCAAATACATTTGAGGGTGTATCATTCTTTTTAAAAAAGAATGATACACCCTCAATACATAAAAAAAATTTTATACATATTAGAAATAGGGAAAAAACTAACTTTTTAAAGGGACTACCAAGTCCCGTGACATGTTGTGTTCATATTAAAGAGAATGTTAAAAAAAAACGTCTGAGCAAATTTATTTTGATTAAAACTAATTAATAAATGTATACCAAGAAAAACAAATCTTGTTGTTTTAGTCGAAGTTCGTCTTCTCCGTTTTCTCTGGTATTTTGAGTATGTAAAATAAACGCGATTTTCCAGGCGCATTATACAGACTTGATAATTAATTCAAGCGCGTTTAATTCATAGGAGTTTTAGAGCATGACGTCATTGGAAACATTCTAGAAATTCTTTTAAAATTTACTATTAAATTTTACTTAAATAGCTAACTATAGTTACTTATTTTATTAAAAGTTTATTTTATTAATTGTTTGTTAGTTTTTTACAAATCTAAGGAACAATTAATTAAACCAAGCACTAAGAAAAGATATAAAAATTAAGAATATACTAATAAAATATATGATTTGTAATTAACTTGCAAAATTTTGACAATTTATAAAGTATATATTATAAAACATTTATTTTTGTAAAAAATGATAATAGTTTAAAAGTTTTACGGCGTTAAGGCGGCTTTCCACAGAGCAAATTATTTCGCGCGAAGCGAAATATTTCGCCGCGAATATTTCTGAGCATGCGCACAATTATTTTTTTTATCGCCTTGCGAATTTTTTCTCTTCGCAAAATAGTTGGATTGACTTCAACTTTTTCGGTAGCGCATTTTTTCGCTTGAAGGAAGAGCCAATCAGAACTTTTGAAATATGCTAACTAAACAAATATAAAAATTCAGCATGTAGAAAAAAAAAAACACAACAAAATTCGGCGGACAATAGTAACACGTTTATTGAGTGGTTTAAAGAAAGAAATGTTAACGTAGATTTATTGGAAGCTTTAATAAATGCTTCTCAAAATCAAGTTCCAATCACGAATGAAGAGGTAGTTAATGAAATAGACGAAAATGAAGAGAATGAAAACGATAATTTTATTCCTACTGAATTCGATATAGATCATTTTATAGAAGCTGTTCGTGAGCTTTCAAGCTTGTGGGATGTGAATCACCCC